ATAAAAGAAATAAAAGAATACACAGAGACAAAGATATAGTTTTATAAGTTTATGAAGATTATAGGCAAAGCAGGATCTCAGGGGGCCTAGACCTTCTCCGTGGGTCTCAAAAAGCCCCAAATGAGATCTTACATGGTAACTTATAGGGAATGGTGAGTAATTGCCAGGGGTAACAGATTTACATAACAGCAGGTAGTTCCTCTCAGGTTAACAGATTTTCAAAAGTCTTCTACAGATTCTTTAACTAATTCTATCTACGTGAGCAAATGGTTATAAAATCTTTCAAAGATTAACTTCTAAGTTCTAAGGTAAGTTTATCAGTTAATAGAGGGGTTAAACAGAGATATGTTGGCTCTATATTTATTAGATTATTGTGAATGGAGACAGGTAGTCTAGAGTGTTAAAACAAGAGCTTTGCTTTTAGCCATTCGGGAAGCTGTCTGTTCCGGGGGGCACTTCATTGTCAGCTCTTATCCTGTAGTTTTTAACAGATTCACTTTGCTTTACAAAGCAAATCCAAATCTTTAGGTCTGAGAAAGGTGGCGCCTTGTGGGATACAGCCGCTACTGTCTTTCAGAGACACCCTTTGGAGTGTAACAGCGTTTGAAATGCAAACCAGCACATTCACATATTCCTTCAGGGCAAAGCTCTGAAAAACTCCTAAGACAAATCCTGTCTGCAAACATGTTTAATATTAATTCATGGAACAACACCATTATGCCACTCTAAGTCCCAGATTGAGGTGGAAGGAGCAAAATTTATAGTTCGTACATGTTTTCCATTTGCTTTCTAAATAATGGTTTGCATTCCAAGAATGCAGTATATTAGCTGAGTAAGCTGAACAGGTAAGGATAATAAATAGACTAGAGCTAAAAGTTACAAAAAAAATAATAATCTACATTGAGTGGTTATGAGCTAATTCCTACTCTTATGGTAAGCCTTGTTTACTTCTTAAGGAAATCATGCCATTACTTGTTTTACTATATGTTAAGCAAATTGCCAAGTAGACACTTTAACTGCCATTCTCTTTGAATATGTTCTAACTCCCAGAATTGGGAATTCCTGCCTCTGTGGATCTGGTAAGCAGTGATCCGAGCCATATGGTAGCATCATTCAGCAAAGGATATACAAGCATCTTTAACATGGAAACCCAACAACGCATTCTCACTTTAGAATCAAATCTAGATACACGTATGTATACTCATTTTAAATAGTCTGTTTGGATTAATTTTTTAAATTTAATCAAAATTATAACTACTAGAGTCAACTATTATAAAAAATACTTGTCATTATAAAGTGTTCTGCCTCCTAAATGTCAGAACACAGTTACTTAGAAGGATATAATGATTTACAGTTGGTTTTCAGAATTTGGGTTAAGTTTATGTACGTTTTGAACTATGCTATTTGAATAATAGCATTTTAGCTATTCCAATATGAGTCAAGTTCAATTTTATGTCAAATGATTAATTTTCAATTCTGTTTGAAAAAAGCAATATTCATTCTGAATAGAAAATAAAATGTTTTTATTTTTCATAATTTCATTGTTTTAATCATTTAATTTCATATTAATAATATAATTTGATGCAGCTCAATACTGATTAGAATGTGGATCACATTGTGGCTCTCAGAATCCCAAATCTGAGGCTTCGTATTGGATGTAGGAAGTCAGGAAATAAATGTTTTTCTAGGTTATAAAGAAGATTTTTGGTATTTGGCTCTTTAAACCATTGCTTTCTGTTTTTAGTCATAACAATCACAATTCAGGTTGCAGCTGATAAAGAAAACCACATATACTGTTGTTTTAATTTGACAACTAGCTTTTAAAATAATTATATGTTGTGTATATGCACATGTATGTGAACATGTACATGTGCATGCATGTACTTGTCTCCCCCTCCCCCCTTTCTCTCTCCATCTTCTGTCATTCCATTTTAGTTTTCCTTATTTTCCCTTCCTAATCTGTTATTCTTTGTTTTCTTCTGATATGCTTTGTGACTTGTTTGGGGAAGTAGGCTTGAATAGAACTTTGAGCTATTTGGATATAAAAGAGAGAGACAGGAAAATAAAAATTGAGATTATAGAATTGGAAAAAGAGAAATTTTTTTTGCCGAGAAATGTAGGTTTTAGGCTCTCAGTAAATTTAAAATCACATTTAAATATATGACCTAAAGCTACAGTAGTCAAATAGAAAACCAGTATCAAATTAAGAAGGACATCAGCATTTTTGGAATTACCGTCAAGGGTTGTGGTCAATTCTTTGGATAACCTGAGTGGCAAATAACTGATTTTTAATGACTGCTACGAGTTAATAAGACTTTAATTCTGGTGGGTAAAATGGATACAGGGAACTAGGTGACCCCATTTTTTTTCCCCAAGTAGTATGACTTTTTGCCTGATACTGGAAACATTTTCAGAAGAAGATTGCCAAGAATATTTTTAACAAAGGCAACATTTGAACATTATTGGAATAAGTGATAATTATTTTGAGTTATAATATGCCCTGACATTTCCTAAGTTATCAGTTTTATTACTTTTAGAATTGTATAAAGCAAACTTAAATTAGTTTTTTATTGTGTTTTACTGTGGACTACCGCTCTGCTGTTTATATTGATTATGTTGTTCTATTCTGGAATTTAGCAGATTTTTAAAAAATTAAAGTTCAGACCAGACTTGCTTCAAGGTAAAAGTGAATTTCATACAGAGTTTTAAATGATGAAGGATGTTTGCTGTAAGAATAGGAATAAATTACCCTTCTTCTCATTGATGAGCTGATTGTGATAAAGTCAAAGGTAGTTGAAGCAGATAAGTCACAAGCTGAATGGGAATATTTGGAGGATTGTTTTGGATTCATTATTAGAGTGATGCTCCTAGGCCTTCAATTTATTTCTAGCATTTTTTGCATTTTGCCTACTTCCCTGATTTACCATCAGGTAGAGAAACTGCCTTAAAAGTATTACCAAGTAAGAACCTTGGTCTTGGCCTGCTTTCATGATTTGATTTCTATCATATTAATTTACTAGCTCTCAAAGTAATTGAAGCTATTCTCTGAAACTTCTCTCTCAGAATTTATGGGATATTTCACTTAAAGTATTTCTTTTTTATTGTTACTGTTTTTCCCTTGCTAGACCTTACAGAGGGTATTACTCAATGGTGTGTTATCTGTGGAGGGAAAAAATCCATAGACTGAATTTTGAGACTAAGCATCTCTTTGTTGAGGATTGTCTAAATGAAATGTAACTGACCAAGTTATTCTACATGGTCAAGTGACTTTTCGTTCTATTTTGTTTTTTTTTTTTTTTTTTGAGACAGAGTCTCACTCTGTTGCCCGGGCTAGAGTGAGTGCCGTGGCGTCAGCCTAGCTCATAGCAACCTCAAACTCCTGGGCTCGAGCAATCCTTCTGACTCAGCCTCCCGAGTAGCTGGGACTACAGACATGCGCCACCATGCCCGGCTAATTTTTTCTATATAGTTTTTTTAGTTGTCCGATTAATTTCTTTCTATTTTTAGTAGAGACGGGGTCTCGCTCTTGCTCAGGCCTCCCAGTGCTAGGATTACAGGCGTGAGCCACCGCACCCGGCCACATTCTATATTTAAATAACAGGCTGAATAATCACCTGCCACTAGCATTGGAAAAAGGTGATCTTTAGTTTCTAAAATGTCATATTTCTAGGAACCACATGAAAATTGAATAACATTAGACTGTTTTTAGCTATATTTTATATTACGTGAATGTTAAACTCATAATACCTATTCTGGGATTTTAAAAAAAAGTTAACTCTTTCCTTTGAAATAATTTTAAACTTGCTGAAAAGGTGTAAAAATACAAGAAGTCCTGGGTATCCTTTAACCCATTTTGAGCAGTTTTAAACACTTTGCCACATTTTCCTTGTCACTCTCTATATATGTGTATAATTTTAAATTCTGAACCACAAGGGAGACATCATGCCTGTATTTCCCCAGATCCTTTAGCATGTAATTCCTAAGTACAAGAAGTACAAGGACATTCTCTGACATAACATGTTACAGTGTTCAAAACCAGTAAATTTAACATTGACACAATACTGTTCCTGTTCATATTCAGATTTTGCCAGTTGTCCCAATAATGTATTTTATAAGGACATCCCTTCCTCTCCTTGTACCATGATATCATCTTTTAAAACTTTGGTATATCCTAAATTAGTGTTATCTTCATGTCAATTTTTCTTTTCTTCTCACAAAAAATATCTTTAAAAATCACTAATTAAATTTAAGTTCTTAATTATTGATTTCCTTTTGATAAAAAGTTCTCAGGGAGAACTTGTGATAGTTTAGGAACCAGTTTTGGGAGTTGTCTGATTTGCATGAGCCATCTGGTTAGAATAGAGTTAGAAGATAGAATAGGTACTGGTTTTGTTGCCTGATTTTGGGGGAATCACAGCTTTTTCTGGACCTTGCTGCATTCAGTGTGATAAGGGCTTAATGATATGTGGTCTGTTTTATTGTGCATATAATTGAAATTTCTTTAAAAGCTATTAAACAGTATACAAAAAATACTATTAGGATGCTATTTTAAGATTACAAACCAGGTACTGCCAAATGATGACCATTTCTATTATGATGAGGAAGAGTGAAAAAGAGAAGGTTTAAAGGTTAACAGGCTCTCTTTGTCATATTATCTTTAGATGACAACTATGTGATAAAGAGCTTTGTATGTAAAAAGGAGCTAAGAGTTAAATGAGCATTATCTCCATGTAAATGATGATGGAGCTTTGTATTAAAGTAGCAAAAATATCATAGAACAGTTATAAAATGGGAAATATCAGTGGTGTAAGCTAAGCTTTAGGTGGGACCCATAGATAGCAAGTGATGGAAAGGAAATTCTAATTCTTAGTTACCTCTAGGTTTATCACTATAACATAGTTCAGGCAATTCTCATTTCCTAACACTGAAATTATGGAAATAATCACAGAATAAATAAAAGACAACTTAAAGTCACATTATTTACTTTTGCAGTCTCTAAGATGAGTATTCAGTTCTCCTTTGTGTGAAAAATAGTATCTTAATCTGTGTTACTTTTTAATTTTTTTTAGCAGCCAGCTCTTCCTGCCAAATAAATAGAGTCATCAGTCATCCTACTCTTCCCATCAGCATTACTGCTCATGAAGACAGGCATATCAAATTTTATGATAACAATACAGGTAAGAATTTATAAAGAATTGACTTTTATTAAAGCAAAAAAATCCCTGCTACAAGTAGGCTAATTTTTGGGTCTGTTGGTGGCTTTGTAGTCAAGGAATAGGCACGGAACACAAATAGTTTCCTGGTTCTGTTTCTGTTTATTCCATTCAAGTCTGCTAAGACTAGTCTTCATTATAAAGTACAGAATCATTTTGGTTTATTTAACAGTGAGTAGATGCCATGTTTAGGCCCTGGAGCCAAGGTTATCACTAGGGACACAAGGAAAAATATATTGCAATACCAGTAAATATGATCTGTTGCTATGATCTATTGCCGTATACTGGGGAAAAGTAGAAACATGTTGGAAGTAGAGGCATATGATCATTATGTTTTGTTTAAAATTGTTCATTTATTGAATATCCTTCTTCGATATTCAATTATTCAGTGATCGAATGGCCTTGTCTTCAGTGTTGCAGATGGGAAATCCCCGGGCCATTTGGTTTATTTTATTCATTTTTCCATAGACTAATCTTTTCTGTGTTGTAATATACGATTTGGTCCTGAATGATTTGAATTGGGGCCTGGAGGCTTTCCCACATTTTACTGGATTACATTTCACCAGTCTAAAGGAAATTCATGAAGAGCTTTGCTGGGAAGGAAGCACCCTGTATTACTGTCATAGTTACCAAAGTATCTACTATTTGCTTTGTTAATATGTTGACTTTTGCTGCCTTTGCTTAGCTGCTAGTGATGAGTCATTTAATATTTTTAATTTCTTTCTGTATGTTGTTTTCACCAAAATTGTGGCCATGTTTTCTTTGTGTTCCTTTGTTTTTGTCTCAGTCTTTTCTCTCTGTGAATTTGAACTCTGTTCTCACAACCCATATAATTTACCTGTAGCTAAAGGATGCAAAGTGGATGATTAATAATGTCTCTGTTCTAATTAATGAACACAGCTTAAGGGAATGTTTGTGTAGAAATCATTGACTTCCACATTATGGTTTAAAAGACGAAAGTATAATCTAAAATTTGAGCTGCTTTTGTGCCTCATCATTACCATGACTAGAGGCACGAGGGACACAAGTGTTGTTTTAGCTGATGGAAAAAGCTGTTGATACAGAGGCTGCGTGCAGTGGCGCATGCCTGTAATCCTAGCACTCAGGGAGGCCGAAGCAGGAGGATCCCTTGAGGTCAGGAGTTTGAGACCAGCCTGAGAAAAAGCGAGACCCTGTCTCTACTAAAAATAGAAGAAATTAGCTGGGTGTGGTGGCATGTGCTTGTAGTCCCAGCTACTCAGGAAGCTGAGGCAGGAGGATTGCTTGAGCCCAGGAGTTTGAGGTTGCAGTCAACTATGATGACACCACTGCACTGTAGCCCAGACAACAGAGCAAGACTCTGTCTCCCAAAAAAAGCTGTTGATATAATATGTACACAGGAGGGATGACTGGAGAAATCAGTATAACGTGGTAGCTGGCATATTTTCAAGATGAGGAAAGTTATTAATAGAGTAACAATCTCTTTTTCCAAAGGCAAACTGATCCACTCGATGGTAGCCCACCTAGAAGCTGTTACAAGTTTAGCAGTTGATCCTAATGGCCTCTACTTGATGTCTGGCAGTAAGTACATCAACTATGGATTATTTATTTGTCCTTATCATTTTCATGTTAACATAATTTTTCCTTTCAATTTCCTTTTTTTGGTATAGGTCATGATTGTTCGATACGTTTATGGAATCTAGAAAGTAAGACATGTATCCAAGAGTTCACAGCTCATCGGAAAAAGTTTGAAGAATCCATTCATGATGTAGCTTTCCACCCATCCAAATGCTATATAGCCAGTGCTGGAGCTGATGCACTGGCTAAAGTCTTTGTATGACACGATGCATCATCTTCGCCTTCTAGCTCTTTATAAATAATCAACTGCACAAAAGAGATACAGAAGACAAGGGCAAGAGTCAACTTGTCTTGCCCTTTTGTTCTGCTGAAGGAGCACAGAGAACATTTGTTAAAGTATAGTTTTGCAATTCATATACTGTTTTCTAAAACTAAGGTTTGTTCAGGTTGCTGCAAGCTCGGCTGAATCTATGAGCCTGAAAACTGTTATAAATTTTCTCCCAAATAGGCGCTTTTATTTCTGAGATTGTTCTAATTCGCTAGGCAGGCCTGAGCGAATATAGGTTTAGCTTGTCCTTATTGAGTAAGTAGGGCATGCTACAATGGATAATTAAAAAGCTCAATAGCTGGGAATGAATAAAGGAAGAGCGGAAACCTAGACCTAGTTCTCCTTTAAGAAATCTTGTTAAACACATTAGGTAGTCAAAACAGTAATCTTTGTCATATCTACTGTACTAACCCCTTTGTGTATAATGACCGGCAGTGTTAAAATGAGTTTTTGATTCAGCTCTCCTTTCAGCTGTTCACATAAAGCACCTGACAAAGCATTTTACCTATTAGGGGGGAAAAAATGCAATAATATGTTAAATATATAATTATTAAGAAATGCAAAACAAATATTTAGTTTGCAAGCAGATTTCTATATTGTATTACAATTTTGAAAATAGATTTGGTACCATTCTTAAGTTTAGCTGTCAAGCACTCACCATTATGAAGAATAGTTGATAAAGTCTGCTTTTACTAAAGGATTTAACTTACACAGGTTTGAAATTCTGTTTATTTTTAAGGATAAACAGGGCATATCTCTATAATAATTTCTATTTTGAAATTCACTTTATTCCTGTGATATTTATAGTACCAGAGCGATTATTTCATATTGATGAAATCTTACCTTTCAGTGACTGAGAAGATGAAAGTTACTTCTAGTTCTCATTTATCAACACCCACATAACCATGCTTCAGATGATCTCTGTTCTTTCTTCTTTGTCTTTACATGTTATCTGACACCTACCAAAAATAGTTCCTAATTATTATTTTAACAGTCCAAAGAATATGGTTAACCTCAGGCAGCTGCTTTTGCAGAAGTACTAATTAAAGTAAATGTTTTGTGCCCCAGAAGTCCTCTATTAATATTTCCAAGAAGAACCTCCCAGAAATCTGGATGCAAGAGTTCAATGCCTAATGTTGGCTAAAAAGTTCTCTCTCTCTCTCTCTCTCTCTCTCTCTCTCTCTCTCTCTCTCTGTCGCTTCCCTGCTGTTTAATTGGATACACATGTTTTAGTGGGCAGTAAATCTATATAGATTCTGTGGAAAACCATATCTTAAAAGGCCAGGCTTCTCCAAACTCACCTTACCTGTGACCTACATGTGGTCAGCTTTTGGGTTTCCTATGACCCCACTATCTGGACCTCATCCCTGTCATACAGACCTCATCCCTATAAGGTCACGCCTCTCATACTATTTCTTATTTGCCCCAAATGACAGAGACCAGTCTAGAAATTATAAATAAATTATTAATGCCCACCTTTTCACAAAAGTGTATATATACAATAGGCTCTCAGATTTTAAAAAAAACTTACATCCACAAATATTTTAGCCTATTAAAATAATTCCTACATTCCTATTCCCACATATTCCATTGTCATAGCAGCTACACTTTTGATGATATGCACGTCTGCTCCTTGAAGATGTATTCTAGTGATGGTGTGGATAATAATTGATAATATTTCTTTAAAATTTGTTTGCGTCTAAAATTTTGCAGTGTACAGGCAAATTTTCTTTAAAGGTCTAAGCTAAATTCGTCTGATTGTTATAAGATATGCTGGAGTATTTTAACACAGCTACCTTTTCATTTCATCTTTGTGCTTTGCCTAATGAGTGGGTTAAAAGACTCCTTTTTATAATCAGATGCATTAACTCTAGACAAAAGCTGCCAGGTGAATGTTTCTATTTCTGTGCAGATAGAGAATCCTACATTGTGTTCAGTAAATTTCTTTTGGTTCTTCACAGAGTGAAGAAACGTTGTTGCTAACCTAACATTTAGAGGAGGATACTGGAAAATTCCAGTTAGGTGCCCTTGTTATATTTATGATGGACAACCACAAAACTATTGATTGTTGTACCAGTTACTGCTTTAATTGCCTTCTAAGATCTTCAGTGCCTATTTTACTAATGTCACTGAAATTCTGGAAACCAAGATACTCTCTTCTCCTGTTTATTTTATTCTTTATGATTGAAATTTTTCTTTTAATGAGTGGGAAGTAACCACGAGATATATAGACTGTAGTGCAAATGTTGGAACTGTTGAAAGTTCCTTAGAAAGCCAGTGCTGTGCCATTGGAAACTGAACACAGAGAGTTTCTTCACTAGCACTGCATGATCTCAGCCTAGAAATGAGCCAAAGCTGTCTTCCACCCAGATAGTAGCATACATATGTGTCTGACTTTCCCCAGCCTATTGAAAATTCAATGAAAATTCACAAAACAAATTCAATATTCAAACAGCCATTGAAATGCTGTCATAGTGCTTGATTTGTAAATATTTTGGATCAAATGTATTGGAATAGTATGAAAATCAGCGGGAGGTACTAGTCCCTGCCTTATTTTCATATGCTGTGGATACATCTCTGGGAGCTTGCAGCACCCTTCTCAAAACTCAACTGTCATATGGAGCCCATTTGCTACTCAAACCATAGGCAGATATTTAACATAAGTGATATAATGACCTTCAGTATTTTTCTATTGAACAAGTTTAGCAATTTTTGCCATTAAACAGATACTTAGTTATGCAAAGTATTTAGCTTTTATAATCATTTTAGTTATGACTAAAAGGGGGAAATTGAGCTGCATCACTAATAATGAACTTTGTGAAAAATTTTTTGTTTATCTGACTTTCATTCCTTCAGTATTCTTGCTATAAATTTCTTTTGGAGATAATGATGAAGATTTATTTGAAAATGTCTAAAATGTATGTATATTTTATAAATATATATTATATATATTGTAAGAATATATATAATATATATAGACTATATATATAAAAAAACCATAGGTGCATTTTACTGTTTTGTATTTTCATTTTTGGAGGTAGTGTACACAGCAAATAATGATGAGTGTGGCGAGTGCTGTGCTGTTTGCTTTTGCAGTATAATATATAGTTCTAAATGTTTAAATTACTGTACATACTATATTCATTATAGGCTAGCATGCTTGTTTTAAAGATTGTCATTCTAGTTTATTAAAATCTGAATGTAAGAAAACCTGGCTATTCAAATGTGAATTGAAAAATATTCCATTCTCAGTACTGAACTATTTCCATTGAACATTCAGGCTTTTTAACAAAACAAATATCATCAAGAAGGCAATAGCTAGAAAATGAGAGGTGCCTTTAAAAAAAATACAAATGCAGCCTTACAGTGAGGATGAAGATTGAGTTTGGGGGGGAGGGGGGACAGTGAGAGAGAGAGTGTGTGTGTGTGTACGCGTGTGCACACGCGTGCGTATGTGTGTTTACCAATTTGTGAAGGTCCTGATATGTGACCATCAATGTCTTTTTAATGTATCTGCTCAACTTCTAGGACTTCAGGGGACATTTCATGCGCTGTCTTTGTGCTCTTCTGAGTACCATATATACTTTACAAGAATTTTGAATGTGAATTCCTAGAAATTTCAGTAAAGACAAAATAACTGTTCTTTCATTATAGTCAAGTTCAGGTAAAAGGAAAAATTATTGGTTCACCAAAATTATGGGATCTTATTAACGTTAGCTAAGTCAATATAATTTTTAAAGGCTCACTGTTTTAGTACTTCATATATTTTCCCCTTATACAAGAGCATGTTATGAAATTCTTATGTGATAAGATTCAAAAAGTAGAAATTATTTTTAGATTAAACACCTGAACTAGTTAAAATTCCACCTAAGAATAGTCTTAAAGTATTTAAATGGCATCTCTCATATCTACCTCTGTCATTGCTGCCATTTTAACTAAAGCTAATCTTTATGACATCTGAAATGATGGTTGGATGCAATTTAAAAATCTATGTTGGTGCTGTTCTCAGGCTTTGTAATTTAAGTTATATTGTACTAAGATGTCACAAATTGGATTGAAAGGCGTAGAATTAATTTTGGTTTTCTTTTGAAAGACTCACTTAAAATTAATCATCAGTGTTGTTAGTGAGTGGAGATAGTTAATCTCTGGTTGGTGTCTATCTGATGTTTTCACCCAAGAGCCAAATTATTATTCAATTTACATGGAAAAAAGTTCTAAGTATAATTATATTTAGCTTACTTTATTCTTTGAAAGCTATTTGAAGACTATTAAATACATAATCATTCATTTTATTTACTCAGAAGTTGCCTCCATTATTATGTTAACTTTTTTAGTTATTTATATAATTGCAGTACTTTAAGTGTTTGACACTGGGATTCAGGTTGTACAAATGTAGGAGCTAACAAAAATATGTATATTTTTGTGTAATGTATCAATTCCTGAAGTTCATTCTAGGGGAAGGTCCAGAAAACTAACATATCTGTGTTTAAAACAAAGGATAGGTCATTGGTAAATCATTTGAATCATTTTTACTTTTGCCACTAAAAGCTTTTTATTTGGCCATATCCATCATCCAGCTGGATCTCCATGTCAGTGTTCTTTACACTAACATAGGTTGACAGAATATTTAATAGATCCTTTACATCAGTTTCTCATTTGTCTTTTAAATCTAAAAAAAAGCAAACATTAGGCCAAACAGAGATCCCTAGATTCCAGTCATTTATTCTAGCAGTATTCCTGAAGTGGTGCTTAGGGTTCAGAATTTTCTGGATCTTTGCTAGTCAAGCTTTAGGTTTAATTGAACTGGGACCACCATTTAAAATGCTGTCATCCCTCTGATTCAAATTTGAAAGTTCATTTTAATTTAGATTAACTCTAATGTCTGCCTAGTTTTTTAACAGGCTGTGAACCAGTGAGTGCCTTGTTAATGTAGAATGATTTTTTCCTGGTTGTGTGTTAACTCCTCTCTGAAAATGTCTCAGAGAATGGTATTTTAATTGACTTGTAGAGAGCTGCTAAATTTGGTATTATCAGCAATCAGAAAGTCTTAGGACTACCACATCTCTCTATCCCTACTGTCTCCTCATTATTTGGCTAAAGTTTGCCTCTTGTGAGAAAACAAATAGAATCCCTTTCTCCACACACTTTTTTCAGTCCAGATTAAAAGGTATTCCTTAACCCCCACCCCATCTATATGATCTAATAACTGTTTTTAGGAGAAACCACTTCTTTGTAATATTGAAATCTA